CCTGGTGGGGGCTGGGGTGTGGAGGGGAGCATGCAGAAGCGACTTCTTAACATCTGACTCCCTGCAGCGCGCTTAGTGCTGATTAAGTCGCATCCAGTGTGAGCCACCAGGCCACACAGTTTCCGCGCCTGGGAAACCGGCTAAAAAATGTGAAAAAGTGAAATCTGGAGCTTCTCCGCCTTTCCTTGGGGACACACAGCCCTAGAAAGCCCATCGTGACTCAGTTTACAGAGTTCCTTCGTGCTACACAACCTCCTCCCCTCACAGCCCCTGGCCACATCCTTCAGGCTAGGAGGACCCATTCACACCAGAAATGCGGGCGGTAAGAGATGCCCAGCAAAGTGGCCGACGGGCATCGCTGCGTGTCTGGGGAGAGTGGCCCAGCCTCTCTGAGTCCAGGGAGGATAACGGCATCTGCACACACCTGGCAGGAGGAAGGTGCCAGGTGGCTGCTTCTGGGGTGGGGTCTGCTACCCCTAGCCACACTGAGTGGGGGGACGGTCGAGGGGGACTTAGCTCAAACCTGAGCTGTTCACCATCTCTGTCACCAGGGCTGATGCAGGAAGACTAAGTCAGTTCACCAGACTCTGGTCGCCTCCTCGGTGCTTGTTCAACAAGGGCAGTGGGGGGTACAGTTACCACCCTCCCCCCTCATCCCGGTGGGTCCCGCACTCCCTTTGCTGCCCCTGGGCTTCCTTTTCAGATGGTGACTGTCCCAGCAGCAGTGACAGAGGGCGCTGAGCCTGTCTGCTTGTTCGTGGGCGCCAGTCGCACCCAGATAAACAGCAGGCCTGGAGCTGGCCTGAGCCCAGTGGGGCAGCCCTGGGGAAATGCTTAGAGGACTCCCAAGTGACGCCTAGCGTCAGAGCCCCTTGGCTCTGGGACCCACAAGCACAGTTCTGAAGGACTAGCCTGCCCTTCCCACATGGCCGGCAAGAAAGTTCAGGCAGAGAGAGGGGTGCGGGCAGCCCGTGGGTGACTGAGGAGATGCCATACTGGGCGCAGGTGGGCCAGCTCAGCCCTAGCTGGGGGCTGGGGGTGGGGGGGGGGCTGACCCCAAGCCTCTTGCTTTTATGAACACAGGTAGGAAAGGTTTTCTCTTTTTGGGGGGGTCCACTGGGCAGTGCTCACGGCTTACTCCTGGCTCTGTGCTCAGAGATCATTTCTAGCTGGGCTAGGGGAGGGGGGAGGCAGGGAATCCTCATAGTTGCCAGGAACTGAACCTAGGTCGGTTTCATGCAAGGCAAATGCCCTCCCTGCCTTGTCTCCCTCCTTTCTCCAGCCCCTGGAAGAGCACGTCAAAGGCTCTTTTTCTTTTGAGCCTTACAAGCATCCCAGGAAACCAAACTGGTTTGCAGGGGAGGGCGGGAAAAGGGAAACAGGGAGATATTTGGCCCTGCCCAGGTCACACAGACAGTGGGTGGTCAGCCAGCACTGACCCTCGATGCTTCCGGGCTCCCCGGCCCACCGTCCAGCTCGTGGAGACCCACGCTGCCCCTCACCCCCGGCAGGCTCCTCTGAACCCCGGGAGACCGCGGTTACCTGTTGATGAGCGAGACCACAGCGGCAAAGAGCTCCTGGTACAGGCCTGCGGCCATCCCGTCCACGCATTCCGCGCCAGTCATCTTGAGCCCTGGGCGGGGTGGGGAGAGAGGGCAGTGAGGACAGGACCCTGCCTGGGGCCAAGGACTTCCTCCCCAGTGTCAGCACTGGCCCTGGAGGGCCACAGCTCTCTCGGCAAGCACAGGCCTCCTCTGCCACCAGAGTGCTCCCATACCCAGGTACAAAGGGGACGTCTCATCAGACCCTGGGGCGGGCCCGTCTGACCCGTCCTGTGCTCCCCAGCCCCGTTCCTCCACCTTAGAGGATGCTCAGGACCCCCACGCTGACCCTGCTCGGCTGATTCCCAGCAACCTGCCCTTGTTCTCTTTGGAAATGGGTTCACGCTTGGCTGAAGTATGGCTGGTGGACAAAGGGTTGTGCTTGCTGCCTGCATGGCGCAGGGCCCGTCTCACGAGAGGCAGAGAAGCTCTGGCCACAGACGCCACTGGCACTGAAGTCTCCTCCTTCCCTCTTCTTTTCTTTTTCTTTTTCTTTTTTTAGGTTTGGATTTGGGGTCACACCCAGCAGTGCTCAGGGCTTCTCCCTGGTTCTACGCTCAGGGATCGCTCCCTTCCGGCGGGGCTCGGAGACCAGGATGGAATCTGGGTTGGCTGCGTGCAAGGCCAGCGCCCTCTGCATGGTCAGTGCCCCCCCCCCACCCCCCGCTGTATTCTCGCTCCGGCCCTTCCTCCTTCCCTCTCGATACTTTACATGTGGAACAAGCACCCACGGCACTGCATCCAGTCTCTGAGGAAGTAGGGGGCACAGAGGGGGCTCCAAAGGCTGGAATGCAGAATTTGCATACAAGACACCCCCCCACTTTGGTCCCCAGCATTGCACGGTCGTTCCCCCACCCTCACCCCAGCACTGCCAGGAGTGGCACCCCAAAAAAAAGACCAGATAGGGGTCCGAGCGATAGTATAGCGGGTAGGGCGTTTGCCTTGCACGCGGCTGACCTGGATTTGATCCCCGGCATCCCATATGGTTCCCCGAGCACCACCAGGAGCTATTCCTGAGTGCAGAGCCAGGAATAAACCCTGAGCGTCGCCACGTGTGACCCAAAAAGCAAAACAACAACACCAACAACAAAAAGACCAGATAAATGGAAGGACCATCAAAGTGTGTGTAGGACAGTGTGTGTGCTGGAATCGGTGACCACGCAGAGGAGGCGGGTCACCTGCTGGCCTTCTTGCTGGTTTACTTCCTAGGACAGCAATTCTCCACTCTTCTACCCCTGCTGGCCAGTGGAACCAGCGAAAACACCTCAGGGGGGGACCACTGAGGCAGGAGATAAAGGCATGACTGCCACCAAGACCACGGGACTGATCACTTAGGTGATCATCCCGCTACAGACCCCGTGCTAAGTGGCCGTCAATTCGCAGTGAAAGGGCCAGACCCGGGTCACTGAGCCCCTCCCAGCTGCCCTGTGACCAGCCCTTCCCTGGCCTGACTCCCTGCCCCAGGCACCAGCATTCCACACTCAGCCTCCGGGGTTGGGACTGCAGGGCCCTGGGATGGGGGAGCTCAGGCCGGGTCTGACCATTTGCTCCCCAGGGGACAAGGTGGAGGGGTTCACCCAAGGGAGACCAGCCGGAAGGAACAAAATGCAGCTTGTCTTCACCGTGTGGGGATTTGGTTAACTTCAGACCCACCCCCTTGCCTTAGGGAAAGGGCTGTGTGTGTGTGTGTGTGTGTGTGTGTGTGTTTCTGTCTCTATGTGTGTGTGTCTCTGTCTCTGTCTCTCTGTCTCTTGGTATCTATCTCTGCCTCTGTGTCTCTGTCCCTGTCTCTCTGTCTCTTGGTATCTGTCTCTGCCTCTGTGTCTCTGTCTCTCTGTCTCTTGGTATCTGTCTCTGCCTCTGTGTCTCTGTCTCTGTCTCTCTGTCTCTTGGTATCTGTCTCTGCCTCTGTGTCTCTGTCTCTGCCTCTGTGTCTCTTGGTATCTGTCTCTGCCTCTGTGTCTCTGTCTCTGTCTCTCTCTCTGTCTCTCTTTCTCTCTTTCTCTCTGTCTCTGGGTCTTCTGGGCTCTCAAATGCTCAGAATCCGACTCCACAGGCGGTACTTAGTGAATGCTGAATGTTCCCTGGACCCTCTCTCATAGGTCTGCGTGGTTGGGGCTGGGGGTGGCATGGGAGGTAGTCTAACAATGTTGTATTAGAAGCCGTGAGATGTTCTTGTACTTGGACTTAATCATTTCACTCCTAGGCTTTTCTTCTAATGAAATATTCAGAGAAACAAAGATTTCTGGGTACATATGCTCTCCCCATTGTTGGTAAAATCGACAAAAAAATCACTCAGTGGAGACAATGGTTCAGCGTTCAATAATAGCGCGTGGATTAGATAATATACGGTTCCTCTCACAAAAGACGCTTAATGTCAGGCGGAGAAGAGCACTGAGTGAGCCGGGAAGGTACCCGCCTAGGGTATGAGGAGGGATGAAAAGGATGCTAAAAACCCCACGGACAGCGGTGGTCTCAGTTACGCCACACACACACACAGCAGAGACACACACATGCGCACACACAGAGACACTCACACACATATGCGGGCATGCATGCACACACGTGCACACACGGCCCATTAAAACACCCAGCCTTAGGGATCTGGAAAGATAGGGCAGGTTCAGGCACTTGCCTCTCAAGGATCAGACCTAGGTGTCATACCCAACACCACATTTTTTTTTCCCCGAGCACAGAGCCAGGAGTAGCCACCCAGCACTGCCAGGTGTGGCCCTGACACCAGAACCTAACAAGGAAATAAAACCAGCAGCCATGAGTACGATGCTTTGGACTTCCGGGCACGCGCATCCGGAAGTCTGGCTTCCCTCCACAGAAGCAGCAGCACGGAGTCCCACACCTGAGCACTCACGTGTGCCCGGGAAGCCATGCTCCTCACGTTCCCAGCATCTGCGGGCGTCCAAGCACCTCCCACCCCGCCTTGAACTCCTCCCGCAAGCCTGGTCCCCATCCGCCCAGCAGCGGCTGCCGTGGAGACCCAGGCTGAGAAGGGGCGCAGAGAGGTAGTGTGTGTGTGTGTGTGTGTGTGTGTGTGTGTGTGTGTGTGTACAAGCATGCACATGCCGCACACTTCAGTGCCAAGGCGTGGGTGTGCGGGGCACGCATGGGCCTGGCCTGTGTCCGTGGACACACATGTGGTGTGTGCCCGCTCGTGCCTCTGGGTGCCGTGTGTCTGCGCTCTGCCTGCGGCTGTGCCCACATGCGTACACGTCCGTGCAGGAGCTGTTTCAGTGACGGGGGGATGGTGGGGGGGGCAGGGCAAAGAGCTCTTCCTGGGACCCACATGGACGCCCGGAAGGCCACAGCAGGTCACAGAAGGTCCAAGGGAAATGGCTGGCAAGTCACGTGTCTGAGAGGATGAGCAAGGCCCCGGGAAGGGGTGGGCCCCAGACCACAGCTCCGAGGGGCCTCCCCACCAACCCCGCACCTTCTCGCCCCAATCCTGGGGTGGTTTGGCTCCAGACACCCTTGAGCCTCTCCTGCCTCTCGGGGACCTCTGGCCCCCGGGGCCCCGGGCCGTCTCCTACTGGAGCAAACACCTCTCCAGCAGGTGCTGTGCAGAGTCCTTCTGCTTTCCCAACCTCAGTTCCAAGCACCCCGATACCTCTGGCAGGGTGGGCCAAAATCCTGGGAGGCACCTGTGGGCCCTCACTTGCCCTCAGGGTCCATGCAGGCACCCCTGTTCGTAAAACCAGACCATCAATGCATTCCCACGCCCCTGTCTAGGGTGGTGATCACAGCAAGCCCCCTGTGACCCCCCCTTCTCACTCCATCACACCCCCAGTCTTTCTCCAGGCTGGGCAACCTCAAGGAGAGGTCAGCTCCCGGCTGATGGCCCCTTGCCTCGCCTGCGTGGGTCAGAGAATCAAATCCCTCACTTAGGGTCCGAGAGACGCTCTGGGGTCAAGGCATTTGCCTGGCAGGTGGCCGACCCTGGTTCAATCCCCGGCACCCTACATGGTACAGGCTTGGAGGACCTGAGCACAGTCAGGCTGGCCCAGTGGCCCCCAACCACCACCCCAAAGACAAACCTCTGAGCCCCCGACATGCCCGTCCCCAGCCTTATCTCGGGCCCTCCCCATGCAAGACCTGCCAAGCTGCTGTTCTAGGAGAATGTGGGTACTAGTCCCGCTCAGTGTCCCCCTTCTCACCCCTGTCTAGGGTGGTGGTCACAGCAAGCCCCATGTGACCCCCTTCCCACTCTCCCATACCCCCAGTCTTTCTCTAGGATGGGCAACCTCAAGAAGAGGTCAGTTCCCAGCCAATGGGACCAGGGAGCTCTAGGGTCCCAGCTCTGCAGAGGGGACCCAGGCCCCTTCCTCCTGCGCGACCTCCCTGGAACCCAGAGGACCCACGGGTGCCGGGCGCTGGGGGCTGGGGAGGAGTAGGAGGAGACTGGCATGTTCCAGGGCTGGCAGGTGGGTGGGTGGGTTCTGGGCATTACCTGAGCTGGCCTCCTGGTCCCCGGGTGTCCGCTGGCTTGACCCCGAGGTGACCTGCTCAATGATCTGCCGCAGATGGTGCTTGAAGGTGGCCGTGTTCAGCTCCTCGTACTCACAGCCCAGGGCCTCGGCCGCGTAATTGGCCCACTCGAACCGCATGAACTGCTTCCGGCCCACTGATGGGAGGGAACAGAGCGGGGGAGGAGGGTGAGGTCCCGGGCAGAGGGTGGGGAGCAGCTAGAGGTGCCCAGAGAGTCTCACCACCTCCCACCTCCCCATCCCCCCATGCGGGGACCCAGACCCCTCCTCCTCAGAGGCCCTGGCACTGGCTCCTGAGAGAAGCCCCCTTTCCCAAGACCCTAAGCCTGTTGTTCACTCCTCCCAGGCAAAGGCGGACACTGGGAATCAGGCCGGCGTGGGGGGCGCAGTGCAGAGCCACTCAAGCTGAAGGACAAACTGCCCAGGAAACCGCAACCCTGCGAGTTCCCACCCGCCCTGAGCCAGACGGTGGAGCCCTGGGGGTCCCCGGCACCACTACAGCCCGGGGGGCCGCTGGTATTGAACTGGTGGGGCCCAATTGGTCGAGTGTTACCAGGAGTGCTCCTCCCCCAGGAGTGCTCCCCGCCCCCAGGCTGCCAACAGTGAAAGGAAATAAAATAACAAAGTTAATGGGGACTTGGGGAATGATGAGTCAAAGGGGGTGACTTCACCCGACCCACACGTCCATCCACTCTTCTTTCCGTCCATCCCCCGGCCTGCCTGTCCCCTGACCTCCCCCTCAGCATGCATCCAGGGGCTCCATGCGTACTTCGGGGGTTCCTTCTCGGGGCCAGGCGCTGCGTGAGTCGGCAGGAAGGCCGTTCTGAGAGATGACTTTCTTAGAGTATAACGGTTCGCGAGAGCAAGACAATGGGCACACTCAGAAAGGGAGCCAGGGCTCCTTCCACCCGCTCTCCCTGCCTCTCGCAGGAGGAAAGAAAACAGGGGTCCAAGAACCGGGGTTGGGGGAAAGGCACTCCTGGTCTAGAATAGTCTCTGAGCAGACTCCAACAGCGGCTGAAGCTGGCGACGCCTCAAAGGTGGAAAGGGCGACAGTGCAAAGGTCCTGGGGCAGGGACAAAGCATGGTGTGCTAGAGAAAATCCGGGAAAGCCCATGAGGCTGACATGGATGATGGGGAGAGGCCGAGGAAGACACGGGGTGCCACTCAGCAGGCTTTCACCAGGCCATCTAAAATAAGCCACAGGGGACAGAGAGAGAGGACGCCAGGAAAGGCACTTGCCTGCATGTGACTGACCCAGCTCTTTCCCAGTCCCTCACCCCACCCCTTCCCGCACCACACAGGTTTCCCTGAGCACCTCCAAGCTGGGAGCAGCCCCCACGCAGAGCTGGGTGTGGCCCATCAGAAGAATAAAAATAATCTTAGAGGGGCTGGAGCCA